TTTGTGCTTTCTTCCACAATATCCATTTTCATTTGTTTTAATTTGAAAATGCTCACTTGAACACGTAACTGTATTAAAACTGCTAAAAAGTTCAAAATTTCAGAGTGGTATTATTTTGAATTCAGCATAAAATTAAATGAGATTAAACTTTCTAGGATGTAAGAACTCATTCTAAGGACATTCTTTGAAAGAGGAGAATGTTTTTTTTTGTAAAAAACTTCAAGATTCATCCATCTCCTCCTGAATTCATCAAGGATTGTACTGAGTATGTACCTACTATTATTTCATACTGATGTGCTTTTGCTGGAATAAATTGCCTAAAGAAGTACTTCGAGGTAAAYATTTGCAGAACTTACATTTCAATTTTGACAGTTCCCTTCAGTAATGCAGGAAGGTGGCCTCTGCTGATGGCTCCTTAGGGAGCTGTCAAACAAACAAATGAATAAAAAACATGGAAAAAACAAGAGTTTGCATATAATCAAACTCAGTGACCCTCAATTTCTTTCAACACTGGAAAAGTGCTTTCACTTTGGCAATCCTGGAAGGTTAATAACTAATGAAAGTGTAGATTACCGACGGACCTGGAGGAGGCACAATTAGCTAAAAAATGAGTATCCAATATTTTCATGCTTAAGGAAAATAGATTTATTTTTTCCCCCCTTGTTTTGAATTGAGTGCTATAGTAATTGAAGCCATCAGTCCAGGTTATACTTAATACTTTACTAAGACATTTTTTAGCACAATATGAATTAAACAGAATATAAATGCTTTATGAGAATTGCCATTTCTTTTTATTAGTAGAAGAATATTATTTCTAAAAGGTAATATTTTAATTTGTATTTTCAAGAGTATAAATACTAGGTTTCTAGGCTGGAATCATTAAAGATTCTTGTGTTTGCTGTAGCATCTTGATTGCAAGTAATCTTGTTATCTCCAAAGAGAAATAAATTAATGACTAAACACAGATATTCCTAAACACAGGTACAACTCCAGCTATTTTTAAAGGCTAACTGGATACAGGTAAAGGGATAAATTGTTTATTTTCCATTATTTCTTTTTTGATTTTGACAATCTCCTGTGCTTATAGTGAAAATTGAACTTAGTTCAGTCTTACTTACCCAAAATGGTTTCTGTGGCATTTAGTTTGTTATTATTTCCCTTGTTAAGAATGGTAGCCTTAATCTACTGCTCTCAGTCACTGGCAGCAGTAACAGTGATAGCATTTTAGTTGCTTTTTCTTGCAAATTTATATTAGATAAAAAATTAGGAATACATTTCTTTGATTCATTTTTCAACCAGCTGAATACTCTCCTTATGTCTATCTGTTTCTCACTATTTTTATTGTTTGCATGCTGTAAATGCACACTATCCCTAGGTATTGTAAAGAGCAGTCAATCAGTAGTGTAAGTGCCAACAAAGCCCTACTAATTGTTATTTTGAAGTGCTACTGGATAATATTGGAGAAGAACTTGATCCTTTCCTAGAGCCACTTTTATCAAAGACATTTAAGCAGTCAGGGAGTATCTGCATTTGCCTTGAAGAATCCACATTAAGTCTCTTCCTGAATTCTGCTTTTGTATTACAACTAAGCTGGGAAATTCACATTATCTTGCTGGAACATCTGTTAAGGTGAGAATTTTGAAAATAAATGTGCAACTCTGGTTAGTTTTAAAATGATTCCTTGGCTAAAAGCAGGGAAGATTTCCTGCCATTTGTTTATTCCTCCTTGCCAACATTTTCTTTACACTGCTGAGTGATTGGTATCACCTTATTAGYGTTGACATTTCTCATGTCTAATACTTYACCTTGCAATACTGTCATTCTTTCATCCAGTCACAAATTTATTTAATTAATAACTTTTATCACTTTTTCCCAGTCTGGTTCTCCTGATGCAATTTAGTCACCATTTTTAAAAATAAAAATATTCACAAGACAATAGTCACCTCACATGCAAAACCTACATTAGGCTTTTTTACCTGTAATGTAGTTAGGGACAGGGAAAGATCTAAGCAGTATAAATTTAGTAGAACTGTTAAATTAAAGATGTTGTTAGCAATCATTTGAATCAAAACTTAATATAGTGGCATCATATTTGAATGTACCTTTGAGGTAACSTTCACCACCAAGGCAGTCTGTGTTCTGTAAATCTAACTCATTGACTTTAAATCCTGTTGTTTTACATCTTAAAAAAACCCCTGTATGCCTGTGTGCCTAAATTAAAATAAACAATAAATAAAATCATCACACTTGGATTCAGAACTTTTCTGTCAGCAGAAATAGGAAGCTGCCAGTGTGGATTACATCAGTCATTCCCAGGGAATATTTGGCATAATYCCCTTTTGATGATTTTACCCAGGGAAGGCAGAGGCAGGCAGCCTCACAGAAAATTCTCTGTGAATTAAYGATTCACATAACACTGTTTGTCTTGAGTTATCTTCACTAGTCAACCTCTTTTTACAACAGGCTCTGTGCTGAGATTTTTTAATAATTCTTTTCTCATGCAAACCATGTTACTTCTGTGACTTGAAAAAAGTTTACATTTTGCTCTATAGTCATCTTTGTGTCAGTAATTTGTGCATAAATTGTATGTACATCCATTTTACTRATGAGGAACCATAACTAAAAAGACAATGCTAATAATAACCCAGTAATTATTAGAGGAATAATATTAAAAAATAGGTATTTGTTTTAGCTGAATGGAATAAAAGAATAGGTTGAAACACAAGATTGAAAAGGAGAAACAGCTCAAACAACAGAGCTTGCTCTCATTCTTGATCTTCTGTTAAAATTATAATAGATCCCATTTAGGTTTCAGAATGATCAGCATGCCTGAGATCCAGGGGTGATCCTCTGCCAAGGGATTGGTGGCCTAGGTAATTGGGGAAAAGCTTTAGCACTTTGCTGCATCTTTCTACCTTGAAAAAAAGTATTTGAAGTAGTTTGTGCAAATTCTTACACTGCRTTTTAAAACACCTGAATGGACTTCACCTTATTTTGGTGGAGGTGTTCAAGGTATTCAGACAATAAATAAAAAGTTACCCTTCTATCTTTTTCTCCATATGTGACTACATATTCAGAGAACGCTGTCCACTTTTGGTAATTAATTTTTCTTACTGTTAAATGATGCAAATTTGTCACCAATATTCAGTCATATGATGCAGGACTTCTTAAACCCTTAAATAAATGTGTGCTTCATTGATTGCAAATATCAAGGCTTTAGAAATCTAAGGAAATGGGCTGAAGTATGCAGAGAGAAAGAATGGATTTTTGGTTTGAAATGCACAAAAAGAGTACAATGAGAGATATTAAAGGATCTAAGCAGTTCAAGCTCTTTCACTTGACCAGACTGCAGGAAAGGGACAGATAGTGAAAATTAAGCTTTCTTTTGGCATTTACAAGAAAAAAARTTACAGCAAGTTGAGGGCTTTAATTCTTCTTTGGGAAATAGTTACTTGGACGAGGAAGAGAGAAATGATGGCACTGGAAAAAGAGACAGAGAGGGGACTGCATTATGCATGCTGGGATTAGAGGYTTTTTTAGTCTATAGCTAAAATAAGTGAAAGGTGCTGACTTTCAGCAGTAAAGATCCAAGATGTGTGGGATAGCTCTGTGTGCATTCATGCAGCCAAACCAGAGTTTTCCTTTAAATTGTGTTCAATGCAATGAGMTCTACAGAATCAAATAATCTGTTAATTGCGAAAGAATCTCACAGTGACACCAAAGCTGAGAACAGTTAGTGACCCTTGCATGGCAGATCAAAAGGAATGGCAGTACCTGTCACTGGCCTGATGCAGAGAAGTGCTGTACATTTTACTTGTTGGGTAAAAGCATTTTGCACCATCACATATGTAGCTCTAATACTCACACTTCTRTGTGAGTACTCGAGAATACTCTGCTGCCAGTTTAATACAAAGTTCCACCACACACCCACTGCTGCTCCCTCTCTGTTGGTCATAGGCCATTTACAAACCAAGTTCTCCAGTGCTTTCCTTGACTTTCTTTTTCTGATTCTTGTTTTTCTGCCATCATTTTCTGCATTCAGCTGCAACCTAACTCACAGTTACCTTGCAATACTGTAATGTGATTGTCACTGATTGCATGTTGTCATTGTAACATTAAAGACTACCACTCAAATACATTTCTAACAGAAATAGGGAACTAAAACAGATGCAAATATTTCCCCCACACCATTTCTTCTTCACTTTATAGAGAAGAACTTAAAAAATTACTCTAAATCTTTAAAAGATAATAATCCAAACTTCTCCAATATAAGAGAAGCTTCTTAGATAAACATGTATTTTTTTTAAAGAAAGCTTCTGTAACTTAAGAAAGAATACTTTAGCAAGACGTGTGCCAAGGGATAATTTACGCTCAGGATAGGGAATTCACAAATGCTCTAAAGAATGTTGAAATACATGTTTTTAGGATCTCCAGYATGTGGATTTTCCTGAAGAGTGGAAAGACAAGTTGGGGGAGTTTCAAAAGCTGCTGTTCATTCACTGCCTGAGACCTGCCAAAGTATGTACAAAACTTTCACCTTACTGAGAAAGGTCTGTCTGCATCTTAAAAACCAAAAATATTTGGAAGCATAAATTTTGATTCTACAACAGTCTTATAAAGGAAAATAGGAAATAACAAGATTTCAAAAGAACCCCAGTGAGTTTGAAATTGTAATGAAAAAACTTTTTAGAACTGAATAGGCCTTTAGCTTTTGTTGTTTCAGTTTCACACCAAAATTCCCAGAGCTATTCCTTGAGACTGTCTTACTCGCCTTGTGTCTGCCCTTATTCAGTGCATCTGCTRTTGTAGGTGGATGTCATTATCTGTGACAATTTTATCTGATCAAGAAATAACTTAGTGATAAGCAGGAGTGCAGGTAATGCAGGTGCTTAAAGAAATTGTTGCAGACACCCATTTTGTTTTCTGGAGAGTGTTTTGAAGCAGAAGTGTTCTGATTTGAGTCTGTCTAGGTATAAGGTTTTAACACAGATCACAGAAAGTACTTACAGTAGTGAATCTTTATTCCAAAAAAAGGCAACTTGCTAAAAAACAGAATAAAAGTATTTGCTTAGACATTTTTCATACTCTTGCAGGGTAGGGGGACTACTCTTAGTTTCCCCACCTAGCCATGCCCAGAAAGCACACTGTGAAAGACAGGCCATCACTGTCYATACTCACTCCTCTGATCCAGAGAGGCTGAGAGCAATTCTCTACACACACTTCCTCACACACCTCTTTAGCTTTCCATTCACACTCAGGTAAAGAGAGGAATGTTTGTACCAAATTAAGAGACACTTTTAGAGGCAGACTTCACAGTTCACTTGTCCTGGGCCTGTTTTGCCTGGCAGTGGAGCCTCCTGGCTGCTGGGCTGCTGGCTCATCCCCAACAGGCAGCTSTGCTGACATCTGGGGTCTGAAGGCAAAATAATCCACGAGCCTCTGCCTTGTTGCAGTCACCTCTTCTTCAAAAGAGTTTATTGTGCGCCTGCCAATTTTGCACTTGAATCAAAGCAAGAAATGGAGCCTTTCARTKSATCAGTTTAACTTTAGTTCAGCCAYAGTCCAATCCCTCTCCTCAAGCTGCATTCAGGTATCAGTGCTTCATGATGGCAAGCAAACCCTGATGAGCCCTAGTGCACCGCCCTCCCAGCTATAGTTGATGGTATCCTCGGGGACAAAGTGTCCTCACTTGAAGCTGCTGCTTCTCTTCAAGCTTTTTTAGCTACTGTACTTAGAAATAAAGTCATATTATGGCCAAGACCCCTTTTGTACCTTTAACATTGCTCTAAATCATTCACAGTTCAAGGTAGATAACACCACCTTCTCAGTCCACTTTTTAATTTATYAGACTGCTCCCAGTGTGCCACATAATCCTAGTTCTATTGTAGTTTAATCTGTTTCACAGGGACTTTAAGTACTTAACCTTGGCAGTCGCCAAGTATGTATTTAATACAGAACATTACTAGCAAACAAAGATCTTATTTGTGCAAACCCACCAACAAGTAAGRTGCAGAACATTTTACTGTGCCTCATGCTTACTATCCATAGGATTAGGACTCRTGTATCAAAGATCAGCTGATCTTGATCACCTGAGCAGCTCCATTCTGTGTGCTTTTTTGCATGTCARCACTATGGTGTGAAACCCCAGACGTGGGGAGGAGTAAAATCGGATAACTGGAAAACATTTGAAATGGGCTTTAAAGTTTGAAAGATTAATTAGGCTCATTTATGTGTAAAGCTAGATACGTGAAGCAATAATCTGGTCAAATTTTGTCTTTYCACATATGTTGCTCCTCCCTGCTGAAAATGATAGAGCTGTTGAGCTTCCTGGATTGATTACTGCACCCAATATTGKTTTTTTTCTGSTATAATAAGTTGTTGGAAAACCACRTTAAAGGAAACAGGTTTGCATTCAAAAGCCAGATAATAAACTACACTGAGAAGTGCTTAGGTGCAGATTTTTTAGCCAATAATGTGCATAAATCATTACTTAAGAATAAGTCATGTTCTAGCCTTAGACAATTGTTTCTGGCTGATGTTTGGAAATCTTAACGATAGGAATTGTTGTTTATATTCTAGCTTAGACTCTTACATTATGTGGTTAACACTTACAATGAAGGTTCTCAGCCGTGTCATCTCCAGCATGTAGTACTCCTCCATTGTCAGATCATCAAAGGGCTTAGGAAGGGATAAAAATCCACAGGTGTGACGTTTGGTGTGCTCCTCCCTGCAATATAAACCCAAATAAGAAGAGATGCTAAACCCATGAAAGTTACATTTCAGGAGATGAAGAAATCTGAACAAGCACGTCTTCTCAGTACTTGTGCTGTCTATCAGCAGAAAAAGTAACATGCAGAAAATGTGGAACAGATTTTAGTGGATCTCAGATTANTTGAATTATTTCAAAGTTACTGGGCAAGATAAATTTCCAGCTTTGTGGAACAGCAGTAACTCATGGTAAAATTACCAAAGAAGTTTGGAGGGATACTTTTCAAGAGCGTTACATCTGTGCTTACCATGGATCATCRTTCGCTTCCCAGCCCTCCAGCTCTAACAAGCAGAAGAAACATTTTGCCACATCGGGTTCATTTGCACTTGGACAGTGGATGAAGCCAGCCTTTGCCATCTGCAGGGGACAGTTTAGAAGTTTAGAGCCTTATCCCACACACAGCTCATGTTTCCTGCTGCTTTAGAATTGTGTTTAGTCTTGTCTACTAAAAATTAAGTTTGTTTCAGTTCTCAAACACCTTCTCAGGTAACTCATCTAAGGTTCAGGCTGGAAGTGTCATGTGTGTGCCAAAGTCAGGTGGATCTTTTATTTAAATAATTTTAATTTTTGAATTTGAGTAGTGATCATTCTGCTACTTCATCCTTCCTGATGGATGTGTGTGTACCTGTTTACTCTAATGTGGGCTGCTTTCTCRTGAACAGACATTTCCAATTAGAAAGACTAGATAATACAAGAAATGAATTCTTAAATGACAGGAACAAAAAAAGTAAAAGAAATAGGAACAGTAACTGTTAAAATCTATATGTAGACTAGTGGACTGAACAGAGAAAAAAACAGTTAATCCTGCTACAGTATTTCTGAGTAGGGAACACAGAAAAACTGGAGAATTTAACATTTCATCTTCTTCAGGCTTAGTAGACTCCTGAACACAAATACACTTAATAAAGACTTCACATTCAGTCACAGTATATAAAAAATGAGGCACAGGCAAAGTAGCCTCGGTCAGACTTACATTCTCCGGAGTGCACTTGCAGTTCTCCTGGAAGGGCCACTTGGTGAAGGTTTTTAGGCGGTTCTCATATTCATACATCTCCTTGAAGTCAATTAGGAGCTTGGAAGCAGAATTGAGTTCTTCCAGGAGTGTCTCCATCTACAAAACCTGCAGTCAGAGCAACTAAGAACTGCCTTCCTGCTCTGACATTTAAAGCCTTTGCTAATTGGTGACACATTGCACCTGCAAAGAAGGGGAAGGTTTAAGGGGTGGAACTCCCTCCCTAACACAGGTGAGGTTATGGGCAGGATAGTCAAGGGAAATGAAGCTACTGGAACTTCTTCCCTTTTTGTGTCCCTTATTGTATCCCTTTTTGTGTCCTTGGTCACACTGTAAATTTTTTAACTGAAAGCACCTATGCTACTTGAAGATTTTGTAATTGAAGTGCCTGTGAACAAACCCTGCAACTTAAAAACTCTAGTAACAAATACAGTAATTTTGCATGTAAAATTTTTTAAAAATTAACCTGGTTGTGACCAAAGGGGTTGCTATTTGCATTCTTTAATGATTCTTGAATTTCATGTTTTCACACTAATATTTAGGATCATCTTTGTAAATACTGTCGCATTTCATGTAAAAGGAAGTGGTTAGTTTATAAGATTTTAAATATTTTACTGAAATGCCAGCCCTGTCCCCTGCTTGCAGGCTGGCAAGATGCAGCAAAAGAGAGCATTCACAGGGGAAATCCCTTGGAGAAAATCTTTCTCTACACTAGGTCCTGTTAGGCTGAACTCAGGCTCAAAGAATGTGAAAAGCAAGTTCTTGTTCAGGATGTGTTCATTTGTGTACACGGCTTTCCTGAAATGCCAGCCCCATTCCTGCTTTCAGGCTGGCAAGGTGCAGCAAAAGAGAGATTTTGCAAGCAGAATCTCTCAAAAAAAAGCTTTCTCTAAGGTACCCCCCTGTTTTGCTGCATTCAGGTTCCAGCAGTGCAGAAAAGAGATTCCTTGCCCAGAAAAGCTTCACCTGACTAGCAGGCTTTCCCAGCTTTTTTATTCTATTTTGAATACTATAGAGTGTCCAGAGATAGAGCAGATGATAATATTTTAAAGATGCATCACTGTCAGGATTTACGGGATCAATGCATTAGGCTGTCATTTCATAAATTGTCTCTTATTTTGGTACAGAGTCCAGTCAACTTCAGTAGGCTGTTTAAACACGGGTGTCTTCAGCAGCAGCTTTCTAAGGTAAGATCTTACCACCTTTGAAAGGTGTTGAATCATGAGACTTGAAAATTTAAACCTTCTCCATAAKACAGATGGAGTAAGTGCAGAAAATAATCCAGCACATTATTCTGTCCAGATGTGGTGACAGAAATGAGATTAAGCATTTGCATAGGACTTCCAGTGTCAGCTCTTAGAACATTGTTTTTGCCTAGATTTACAAATGTTACGTGATTTATTCCTCTGGGACTCTACTGGTATCTTTTATACGCAGGAATACTGTCCTTGAAATTTATATTCAGCTGTTTGGGGTAATATGTGTTACATGAAAATAGGACACTTTAATCTCCTTTTGTTTTCTTTTTTTGAGATAATACCAATGGTGCTGGAATGTATCATTCATAACCTGGGCCCTCCAAACACTGATATTTAGTTTCTCCTCGTGCTGACTGCATGGCAGCCCTTCTTAAGTTTGCTGATGATCAGATATTTTAATCTCTGTTTTAATGTAGTTGATGTGTGTGTGTGTGTGTGTGTGTGTGTGTGTGAGTATGTTTGTATGAAGCAAGGAACTTTGCTTAACTAAAAGTTGAAATGCCAAAGGAAACTGAATTTACAAACCTGTTTTTAACTGTCCAAAAGCGTGTTAAAATTGATTCCATGCTTCTCTTTAACACAAGCCACTTGTGTTAAATTAATACAAGTGGATTATTTTCAGGAATGAATAATCTRTTGTTTCAAAGAAACTCTAGGTTAAATATTCTGGCATCTTTTATAATCTTGTGATGTCATGATCTATTTAACAAATTAMTTTGTGTAACTTCAAATGGAAAATGAAAAAAATCGAACAAAACCATGACAGTTTAAATGTTTCTTGTGAGCAATCTTATTAGAAAACGCTTTTTTTCCCCCCCAAATATGCATTATATGCAATATATTATTTAATAAAAAAACACCACAGTAATATAAAACCGAGGAATCTATGTCAACTTTTACACATCAGAATTAAAATAGAGATTTTTCTATTTTTCTTTTTTTTTCAATTTTTCTTTGTTGTTAATATGGCATTTAATAAAAGCAAATAATTCCCAACAGCCCAAATCAGTTCTTATGTAGAAAAGTACTGTTAAAATACTAGAAAGTCAAATTATACAGGTRACAATACATTCTGAGATTTCTTGCATTTCCTGCTTTTGTTCTATCAGAACTCTGTGCTGTTGAAAATGACAGATACAATTCCAGTCTCCAGCCACCAACCTGCGAGGGTATTCTGCATTTTATAGTAGCTTGTCTACATCCTTCAAGAGAATATTGTTTTCAGGAGTGTTCTGAAACTGTCAGAATTTTATAGCTCCAGATTAAATAGATGGGTAGTTGAAGCTTTTCACTGGAAGATGGATAAGAGGTGGCATGACATGAAAAAAGATTAAAATTGTATTTTAAACTATACAGTACATTAAATATCTGATATCCAATATCTGATCCTGACTTTTCCAACAACTGCAGAAGACTTGTGAGTAATGTTGYAACTTTGTAAATCATTTAAAGCAGACCCTGATAAATGTGTAAATATTATCTGGGGGTGGGRGGAAACCTCAGAAATTAAATAGTTGTCTTCCACTGCAAGGAAAGTAGTTTTGATAACTGGCAATAGTCAAGTAAATTTAATTTTTATTTTATTGCTTGTCTCATACTTCRTCAATTGGAAGTTGCTGCTATACTATCAATAATACAGCTCTCTAGGTAAGTTTTTTTTTTCTAAAAAAAGGTAAGAAAGACTAGGAAAATCTTAACCACTGTTTTTATAATTGCAATCACATTCTACATTTTTTGCATTGTTTTTCTGTAATTAATGTAGATCATATAAATGAAGTTGTACATTAGCTAAATGGTCTCAATTGAAAGCCAAACCAAACCAAATATTTCTACCTGATGTCTTTGTGTAAAGGCCAGAATAAAATAATAAAATGTAAGAATAAAAGGTAAGAATAAAATAAAAAGCTAAAATAGTGTAAGAGCAATATTTTATAATGCAATGGTATTTTAAAAAAAGTATACATGCATGATCTCATACATTGAGTTGTATGTAATGTATATTARATATATATCAATAAGTGGCCTTAAAAAAGTTTAAGAGACTATTTGGAACTGATGCTCAGGACCGTTTAATAACCTCGTGCTGAATGCTTTTGTTTTTCCCCTGACTCACAAAGGGTGTGAGCAGGAAAAGCTGGGGTCTGAGTGACATGAAGACAGCGCTGCTGTGCAGGACAGGAGAAAGGAACTGTTCCTGCAGGGTGTAAAATATCCCAGTGCCACCCCTGATGGCTGATCTATTCATGACAGGGACAGTGCCAGCCCCTGGACTGCTGWGAGTGAAACCAACAGTGATCTACTGAGGAACTCTGGCAGAGGACATCTCCTGCCCTGTTTGCAGAGGTGGGTGTATGCCATAAAGCTTCTCTGGAATTTGCCAGCARTACAAGGCACTCCTTTATGTTCTAGTTTGGCCAAAATGTGGTAAAGCTATGGATGGGCAAGAAGAGGGGAGTTACCTTCACTGTCAGCCTGGCGTGATTCTGGTGATCAGTCTGGTTAACAGGCAAAGCCAAGCAATAATGTGATTAACAGCAAGTGGTTCAAGAACTTCATGGAGATGTGTCTTTCCAGAGGGAGAGTAGGGGGGTGGCAGTTGTGACAGGGATGTCCTCCTATTATGTGACCAAAGGTTCTGAACAAATAACAAATACAGTTCCTAGCAGGGAGGGAAACTTTTTCCTGAAAGATAATATATTGTATGTAGTAAACATTTCTTTGTACTTAATGTGTCTGTTTTGCTTCATCCCAGTTTTCAATGTATCACCCATTCTTGCCTTCCTGCAAATAATTTTTTGTCATCACTTGTAATTCTTTCTTGTTATGCACCTAAGAGAGTCCAGCTTGTCCCAACCTCAAGATTTTAAGCATGTTTGATTTTTTTCTAAAAAAACTAAATAAATTAAAAATAAAATACAAGCACAGCTATAGCCTTTTGACAGCAGACATTTATTTTAGACAGATGACAAACAAGAGAGAATTTTGGAAAAGTTTTCCATAAACTTGTATTTAGGGAGTTTCAGTTGTATTACTATGGAAATTTTTGGTGCTATTCTTCAAAGGCAGCAGTGGTTGGGTGACTTGAGGGATGATTATTAAAAAGTATTTGAAGAGCTGGAGATYAAATGGTTCAAGCATGAAGGAGCAGAAGTAATTAACAGCTTTTAAACTTTSCAGTGAGAATTCTGGATGCCTTCCAAGTAAATGACAGTGGTACTGCTAGGGCTGCCCAGGGAAGTGCTGGGCTGCTGCTCAGATCCCTGTCCTGCTTTCCTGCAGGAKGTGCCAGCTGAGCTCCTCACTGTGGGACTGGGGAATGCAATCATGCCAGAAGCACTGGGATTGACTCTGGAAGTGTTCTCAAAATGCTGTTTTCCTCAGAAATCGTTACAAATGTCGATTACATTAGCCAAGTGGTGTTTATTTGCCTCTATTGAAGGAGATGTAAGTATCCCAGAACAMGAGAACTACCAACARCATTTTTTTTTTYTTTWAAGAAAACAGATGTATCTTTACTGACACTGATATGTGTCTCAGCGTTTACTCAGTCACAGTTTGCTTTTGTGGCTTAATCTCACCTTCCATCAGGACTTGTTTCAGTGACTTCTAAAAAAGGGTCATTATGTAAACACCACACAATTATTGTCATCTAAATTGACTCTGCTGTGTGTGTCAGCACACTCAGGGGACAGTAAGGGAGAAACACAGCCCAGTGAAGTTAAAAGCATTTTAAAATAGGCACAAGAGAAATTGTTCATTGTATCTAGTGGAGGCACTCTGAAAGGCCACAGTAACCAGCTTAATTTATCACACAGGAATAGTGCCAGTCAACAGCAAAACACCTTCAGACATGTGGCAAGCAGTGGGCCTGGGAGAAGGGCTGCAGCAGCCCAGTATCTCATTTTAAGAGAATTTTCATCAGCTGTCAGAATTTTTTCAGAAATTCGTTTAGCAACGCCAATCTTGATTTGAGGGCAAGAGGATGAGCCAAAGGAATTTGTGAGGGACAGCCCTGGTAT